CTGTAAACAACTTAATGGTCAGCCCGCAGGAAAAATATTGAAATAATGAGTAAATATTGTCTTAGACTGAGAGTGAACGTAACGATCAACAGACTTTAATTAAAGGAAAAGTTTGTTTGATCAAATTCTATAATACCATTTTCGTCTTCACGCAGTCAATAAATAGTTCTTAAGAGGAGTAAACTCAGGTATCAGGTGGAGTCAGGTAAAATACATGTATATTTAAAATTTGTTTTATTGTGAAAGTTTAACAAAAGGAAAAGAATATTAACAAAAGAACAAGTTAACTGGCCAGGTACAGGAGCCATCATGTTGGTGACATGACTGAGTCAACAAGGAGGGGAGGACCTGTCGTTTATCCGTGGTAGGGCTTCTTTTGGTACCCTTGGCCACTAGTGCCATGGGTGGCACCACTGAAGCCACCAGAGCCATGGGAGGCACCACCGAAGCCACCAGAGCCATGGGAGGCACCACCGAAGCCACCAGATCCATGGGAGGCACTACCGAAGCCACCAGAGCCATGGGAGGCACCACCGAAGCCACCAGAGCCATGGGAGGCACCACCGAAGCCAGCAGAGCCATGGGAGGCACCACCGATGCCAGCAGAGCCATGAGAGGCACCACCGAAGGCACCAGTGCCATGGGTAGCACCACCGAAGCCACCAGAGCCATGAGTGGCACCACCATGGACAAGAGTGGCCACAGGTCTACGGCCACCATGCAGGCCACTGGTGCCTTGACCATAAGGGCGGCGTCGACCACCGTAGGAGCCATGAGGACTGGCGGCCGCCAGGGAACTCAGCACCACCAGGAGCAACACCACACTGCCCTTCATCATCATGCTGTAAAAAAATACCTCTTTTACACTTACATCCCATCAATAATGTGATATAATAAAGGTGACAATAATTAGGTGATGAGCGGCGTCAGTTTGGTCTGGTCGACACCTTGTGTTCTCAACACTAACCCTCAGTAGTTACTCATTTTGGAGCACAAATTAATACTAAGTGAACATACAAGTATCCAATAATAGGTGACATAAGTCAGGTCGACTACGTTAATCTGTCCATCATCAAGATCAAACTCGCTGCTGCTTTACAACAGTTAATAAATATTTGGATTATTTTTACAAGTTGGAGTCATGTAAAATGTTACTATGTGTCTATAGTATCTTACCTTGTTGTGTTGTGAGCTACGACACTTGTGAGGGTGGACGAGGCCAGCCAGCCTTATATACCCGCCTCCTGCTGCTGCTGCTTTCACCCAACAACACAGGCAACTTTCCGGGATCCATTACAGTTGCCACTATCCCGCGATATTTATATTAAACTCTGATGCTTTACCTTAACGTTCACTTTCACTATAAAACTTTACAACAAAATGGGAACAATATCTTGACTCGAGGAAAGAGATACATCAATCTTAGGTAGTTTATTCTTCAGTATTATGTTCATAGAAGATTCGTCCGGGATAACAGGAGTAGAGGTTCACAAGTCCGCTGTCCAGGTGTGTCGTCTTCATAGTTTTCCCGGTGAAGAAACTCAAATTCCCGGCCGGTTTGACGCTCCTAAGGCTATTTCTGCTATTACTGCCATTTATTTTGTTATTTGTTTTAATAGGATGTTGCTGAACATTAATACATCCTTGTGTTTATCTGTATGTTATTGTTTGTGTTTGTATAGATTATTGTCATGATTGTTACTGCGATACCTGATCAACATGTTCCTTACCTTAGTGTTATTATGGAGAATTTGATTTTGGTTTCCAGGTTAGGTTAGATTGGGTTGGGTTGGGTTAGGTGCCGTCGGGTCGGGTTAGGTTAGGTTGAAATTTATGCTTTATCCGATGATTCAGGTTTATTTTGAACGATTCTGACCTTCAGTCCAAATAGGTGGATGATTGAAAGGATAATTCTACCCAAAAGACAACGTGATATTAGTATTGGAATAACAGAGGAGTGTGTGTGGGGGGGGGGTGGGGACTTGATAATATTACATACTATATTAATTTAAAATAACACAGCGTATGGATTGGTGAATGACAAATACTTTCTCATTACGTAATTAAATTCTCCTCGTGATATATGAAGGCAAAATCACCAACACATGTGGGAACTTGACTCATATGTGACTCTAACACATAAGATAGAGTAGACACTTAGGATGGAGGCCACATATGGGAATTTATCAGAGACTAAAGTAGGGAAGTGGATGAAGGTGTTTGTGGTGTAACATACTGTACAGGGTGTCTCATAGGTAGTGCATCATACTCAATAGGGTGTCTCAAGCTATACACTAAGATGCTCGACTTATGCCACACCCTGTACAAGAGGTAAAAAAAAAAATCCTCTCTCCATTGGGGAAAAAAAAACATACAGGAAAAAACAAGACTTTTGCAACTTACCTCAAAAGGGAATGAGAATCGTACACCTTAAACGTTGGAAAATCCCGGGAAATTCCTACCAGTATATCAAACACGTTGCCATTTAGTCAATTCCTGTCCAGAGTCGCCAATATTTTTCATACCAAGCACAACAAGAGACTTTATGCTATATATCTATGTAAATAAAAATAAAATGGAAATGATTTAATGATTCTTAAGTTATTATTTAGAGGTGTTCAATATATGGTGGGTGATTCAAGGCTATGTTGTGGTGAGGGGGGGTGTGAGGGTCAGGGAGCTAGGAGGGGGGCTGGCTGGTGGTTAGGTGGAGGGGGGGGATAGCTGGTGTACAGGAAGAGGGAAAAACGTCAATATTAGGGATAAAACTGAAGAATATATCTACCAATGTATGTGCGTGTGTGTGTGTGTGTGTGTGTGTTACAAGTAGAAAGAACACCTGGAAACCCTAATCAAATTCTCCATAATAACACTAAGGTAAGGAACATGTTGATCAGGTATCGCAGTAACAATCATGACAATAATCTATACAAACACAAACAATAACATGCAGACAAACACAAGGATGTATTAATGTTCAGCAACATCCTATTAAAACAAATAACAAAATAAATGGCGAAATTAAACTTATGACCGGATGGAAGTATAATAGAATGACTGTCACCAGTCAGTTATAACATTCAGCAGTCAGTTATAACATTCAGCAGTCAGTTATAACATTCAGCAGTCAGTTATAACATTCAGCAGTCAGTTATAACATTCAGCAGTCAGTTATAACATTCAGCAGTCAGTTATAACATTCAGCAGTCAGTTATAACATTCAGCTGTCAGTTATAACATTCAGCAGTCAGTTAAAACATTCAGCAGTCAGTTATAACAGTCAGCAGTCGGTTGTAACATTCATCACTCAGTTATAACCTCCAGCAGTCAGTTATAACATTCAGCAGTCGGTTGTAACATTCATCAGTCAGTTATAACATTCATCAGTCAGTTATAGCATTCAGCAGTCGGTTATAACATTCAGCAGTCAGTTATAACATTCATCACTCAATTATAACATCCAGCAGTCAGTTATAACATTCAGCAGTCCGTTATTACATTCAGCAGTCAGTTATAACATTCTACCAGTTAGGTGTGATAACATGCATCAGTCAGATCTATAGTTGTGATGATGGTTACAGCGATAAATCAAACATTAACATTTCAAACAAGAATGATTTTGAAGAGGTTTACCTTTGTCCCAGAGATGGTAAGGTGTAGGACAAGTGTGACATAAGAATGGAGGAAACTGCAGCCGGCCTATTGACCCATACTGGGCAGTCCCGTTTACACCCAACCCCTATCGCTCATATAACCATCCAACGTATGTTTGAAGCTATCCAGCGTATTCGAGTTAATGATGATGTTTGGTAACTTGTTCCACTCATCCACTACTCTATTTCCAAACCAATGTTTACCTATCTCGCGACTAAATCTAAATTTGTCTAATTTAAAACCATCGCTATACTAGCTCGTTCTAGGTCGGATAATTTGAGTACCTTTGTTATATTACCTTTGCTTAGTCCCTGACTTCAACCCTGACTTCTATTTTTACACCTATGTCATATCGCCCCTCACTCTACGTCTCTCGAGGGAGTGCAAATTAAGATGCTTTAACCTGTCTCTGTACTCATGGTTCCTAATATCAGGGATTAGTCTTGTCATTTTCCTCTGTATACTTTCTAGATATTCTATATCCATTCTGTGGTACGGTGACCAAAACTGAACTGCGTTATCAAAGTGAGATCTCACAAGCACAAGATATAGTTTTAGGATAACCTCGCTAGTCTTGTAACTAACACTCCTTTGTATGAACCCAAATACTTTATTAGCCTTGTTTCGAGCGAATACACATTGTTGACTTGGTTTAAGATTCCTACTTATCATTACCCCTAAATCTTTCTCAGAGTCGGATATTTCTATAACATCGTTGTTCATTCATCTGATTTCTCTTTATACATCTCCGAGGAGAAGTGCCTAACATGGCAAAGAATAAACACAAGTTGTTCTTTAGGCCATTATAAGAGAGAGTAGTAGTGGACATCGTCAGCACGAACCTCACCTAACCTAATAAAGATAAATTATTGTTTTATTAAGATATTTCACGACGTTAACCATTAGTATCACAAATTTAACCCAAAATCATAAGTCCATCTTTTGTATTTTAAGACTTTGCCGTAAGATTATCCCGACCCAGGTGTTGTATAATACAGGCAGGTATGTCATACAACATAGGCAGTAGAGATGGTAACCGTATGTTAGTGTATCATCTCAGGTGTTTGTATGTTTTAGAGGAAATACAAGTGAGTTTGGATAGACTTAACTAAACTATTAATATTTCACTGTAAACAACTTAATGGTCAGCCCGCAGGAAAAATATTGAAATAATGAGTAAATATTGTCTTAGACTGAGAGTGAACGTAACGATCAACAGACTTTAATTAAAGGAAAAGTTTGTTTGATCAAATTCTATAATACCATTTTCGTCTTCACGCAGTCAATAAATAGTTCTTAAGAGGAGTAAACTCAGGTATCAGGTGGAGTCAGGTAAAATACATGTATATTTAAAATTTGTTTTATTGTGAAAGTTTAACAAAAGGAAAAGAATATTAACAAAAGAACAAGTTAACTGGCCAGGTACAGGAGCCATCATGTTGGTGACATGACTGAGTCAACAAGGAGGGGAGGACCTGTCGTTTATCCGTGGTAGGGCTTCTTCTGGTACCCTTGGCCACTAGTGCCATGGGTGGCACCACTGAAGCCACCAGAGCCATGGGAGGCACCACCGAAGCCACCAGAGCCATGGGAGGCACCACCGAAGCCACCAGATCCATGGGAGGCACTACCGAAGCCACCAGAGCCATGGGAGGCACCACCGAAGCCACCAGAGCCATGGGAGGCACCACCGAAGCCAGCAGAGCCATGGGAGGCACCACCGATGCCAGCAGAGCCATGAGAGGCACCACCGAAGGCACCAGTGCCATGGGTAGCACCACCGAAGCCACCAGAGCCATGAGTGGCACCACCATGGACAAGAGTGGCCACAGGTCTACGGCCACCATGCAGGCCACTGGTGCCTTGACCATAAGGGCGGCGTCGACCACCGTAGGAGCCATGAGGACTGGCGGCCGCCAGGGAACTCAGCACCACCAGGAGCAACACCACACTGCCCTTCATCATCATGCTGTAAAAAAATACCTCTTTTACACTTACATCCCATCAATAATGTTATATAATAAAGGTGACAATAATTAGGTGATGAGCGGCGTCAGTTTGGTCTGGTCGACACCTTGTGTTCTCAACACTAACCCTCAGTAGTTACTCATTTTGGAGCACAAATTAATACTAAGTGAACATACAAGTATCCAATAATAGGTGACATAAGTCAGGTCGACTACGTTAATCTTTCCATCATCAAGATCAAACTCGCTGCTGCTTTACAACAGTTAATAAATATTTGGATTATTTTTACAAGTTGGAGTCATGTAAAATGTTACTATGTGTCTATAGTATCTTACCTTGTTGTGTTGTGAGCTACGACACTTGTGAGGGTGGACGAGGCCAGCCAGCCTTATATACCCGCCTCCTGCTGCTGCTGCTGCTCTCACCCAACAACACCGGCAACTTTCCGGGATCCATTACAGTTGCCACTATCCCGCGATATTTATATTAAACTCTAATGTTTTACCTTAACGTTCACTTTCACTATAAAACTTTACAACAAAATGGGAACAATATCTTGACTCGAGGAAAGAGAAACATCAATCTTAGGAAGTTTATTCTTAAGTATTATGTTCATAGAAGATTCGTCGGGGATAACAGGAGTAGAGGTTCACTAGTCCGCTGTCCAGGTGTGTCGTCTTCATAGTTTTCCCGGTGAAGAAACTCAAATTCCCGGCCGGTTTGACGCTCCTGAGGCTATTTCTGCTATTACTGCCATTTATTTTGTTATTTGTTTTAATAGGATGTTGCTGAACATTAATACATCCTTGTGTTTGTCTGTATGTTATTGTTTGTGTTTGTATAGATTATTGTCATGATTGTTACTGTGACACCTGATCAACATGTTCCTTACCTTAGTGTTATTATGGAGAATTTGATTAGGGTTTCCAGGTTAGGTTAGATTGGGTTGGGTTGGGTTAGGTGCCGTCGGGTCGGGTTAGGTTAGGTTGAAATTTATATTTTATCCGATGGTTCAGGTTTATTTTGAACGATTCTGACCTTCAGTCCAAATAGGTGGATGATTGAAAGGATAATTCTACCCAAAAGACAACGTGATATTAGTATTGGAATAACAGAGGAGTGTGTGTGGGGGGGGGGTGGGGACTTGATAATATTACATACTATATTAATTTAAAATAACACAGCGTATGGATTGGTGAATGACAAATACTTTCTCATTACGTAATTAAATTCTCCTCGTGATATATGAAGGCAAAATCACCAACACATGTGGGAACTTGACTCATATGTGACTCTAACACATAAGATAGAGTAGACACTTAGGATGGAGGCCACATATGGGAATTTATCAGAGACTAAAGTAGGGAAGTGGATGAAGGTGTTTGTGGTGTAACATACTGTACAGGGTGTCTCATAGGTAGTGCATCATACTCAATAGGGTGTCTCAAGCTATACACTAAGATGCTCGACTTATGCCACACCCTGTACAAGAGGTAAAAAAAAAAATCCTCTCTCCATTGGGGAAAAAAAAACATACAGGAAAAAACAAGACTTTTGCAACTTACCTCAAAAGGGAATGAGAATCGTACACCTTAAACGTTGGAAAATCCCGGGAAATTCCTACCAGTATATCAAACACGTTGCCATTTAGTCAATTCCTGTCCAGAGTCGCCAATATTTTTCATACCAAGCACAACAAGAGACTTTATGCTATATATCTATGTAAATAAAAATAAAATGGAAATGATTTAATGATTCTTAAGTTATTATTTAGAGGTGTTCAATATATGGTGGGTGATTCAAGGCTATGTTGTGGTGAGGGGGGGTGTGAGGGTCAGGGAGCTAGGAGGGGGGCTGGCTGGTGGTTAGGTGGAGGGGGGGGATAGCTGGTGTACAGGAAGAGGGAAAAACGTCAATATTAGGGATAAAACTGAAGAATATATCTACCAATGTATGTGCGTGTGTGTGTGTGTGTGTGTGTGTTACAAGTAGAAAGAACACCTGGAAACCCTAATCAAATTCTCCATAATAACACTAAGGTAAGGAACATGTTGATCAGGTATCACAGTAACAATCATGACAATAATCTATACAAACACAAACAATAACATGCAGACAAACACAAGGATGTATTAATGTTCAGCAACATCCTATTAAAACAAATAACAAAATAAATGGCGAAATTAAACTTATGACCGGATGGAAGTATAATAGAATGACTGTCACCAGTCAGTTATAACATTCAGCAGTCAGTTATAACATTCAGCAGTCAGTTATAACATTCAGCTGTCAGCATTCAGCAGTCAGGTGTTACATTCATCACTCAGTTATAACCTCCAGCAGTCAGTTATAACATTCAGCAGTCGGTTGTAACATTCATCAGTCAGTTATAACATTCATCAGTCAGTTATAGCATTCAGCAGTCGGTTATAACATTCAGCAGTCAGTTATAACATTCATCACTCAATTATAACATCCAGCAGTCAGTTATAACATTCAGCAGTCCGTTATTACATTCAGCAGTCAGTTATAACATTCTACCAGTTAGGTGTGATAACATGCATCAGTCAGATCTATAGTTGTGATGATGGTTACAGCGATAAATCAAACATTAACATTTCAAACAAGAATGATTTTGAAGAGGTTTACCTTTGTCCCAGAGATGGTAAGGTGTAGGACAAGTGTGACATAAGAATGGAGGAAACTGCAGCCGGCCTATTGACCCATACTGGGCAGTCCCGTTTACACCCAACCCCTATCGCTCATATAACCATCCAACGTATGTTTGAAGCTATCCAGCGTATTCGAGTTAATGATGATGTTTGGTAACTTGTTCCACTCATCCACTACTCTATTTCCAAACCAATGTTTACCTATCTCGCGACTTAATCTAAATTTGTCTAATAGAAAACCATCGCTATACTAGCTCGCTCTAGGTCGGATAATTTGAGTACCTTTGTTATATCACCTTTGCTTAGCCCTGACTTCAGCCTGACTTCTATTTTTACACCTATGTCATATCGCCCCTCACTCTACGTCTCTCGATGGAGTGCAAATTAAGATACTTTAACCTGTCTCTGTACTCAAGGTTCCTCATATCCGGGATTAGTCTTGTCATTTTCCTCTGTATACTTTCTAGATATTCTATATCCATTCTGTGGTACGGTGACCAAAACTGAACTGCGTTATCAAAGTGAGATCTCACAAGCACAAGATATAGTTTTAGGATAACCTCGCTAGTCTTGTAACTAACACTCCTTTGTATGAACCCAAATACTTTATTAGCCTTGTTTCGAGCGAATACACATTGTTGACTTGGTTTAAGATTCCTACTCATATCATTACCCCTAAGTTATCTTTCTCAGAGTTAGGATATTTCTCTATAACATATCGCTTAGTTCATTCTATCTGATTTCTCTTTTTGGACATCTCCGAGGGGAAGTGCCTAACTGATGGCAAAGAATAAAAGTGAGATCTCACAAGCACAAGATATAGTTTTAGGATAACCTCGCTAGTCTTGTAACTAACACTCCTTTGTATGAACCCAAATACTTTATTAGCCTTGTTTCGAGCGAATACACATTGTTGACTTGGTTTAAGATTCCTACTTATCATTACCCCTAAATCTTTCTCAGAGTCGGATATTTCTATAACATCGTTGTTCATTCATCTGATTTCTCTTTTTACATCTCCGAGGGGAAGTGCCTAACATGGCAAAGAATAAACACAAGTTGTTCTTTAGGCCATTATAAGAGAGAGTAGTAGTGGACATCGTCAGCACGAACCTCACCTAACCTAATAAAGATAAATTATTGTTTTATTAAGATATTTCACGACGTTAACCATTAGTATCACAAATTTAACCCAAAATCATAAGTCCATCTTTTGTATTTTAAGACTTTGTCGTAAGATTATCCCGACCCAGGTGTTGTATAATACAGGCAGGTATGTCATACAACATAGGCAGTAGAGATGGTGACCGTATGTTAGTGTATCATCTCAGGTGTTTGTATGTTTTAGAAGAAATACAAGTGAGTTTGGATAGACTTAACTAAACTATTAATATTTCACTGTAAACAACTTAATGGTCAGCCCGCAGGAAAAATATTGAAATAATGAGTAAATATTGTCTTAGACTGAGAGTGAACGTAACGATCAACAGACTTTAATTAAAGGAAAAGTTTGTTTGATCAAATTCTATAATACCATTTTCGTCTTCACGCAGTCAATAAATAGTTCTTAAGAGGAGTAAACTCAGGTATCAGGTGGAGTCAGGTAAAATACATGTATATTTAAAATTTGTTTTATTGTGAAAGTTTAACAAAAGGAAAAGAATATTAACAAAAGAACAAGTTAACTGGCCAGGTACAGGAGCCATCATGTTGGTGACATGACTGAGTCAACAAGGAGGGGAGGACCTGTCGTTTATCCGTGGTAGGGCTTCTTTTGGTACCCTTGGCCACTAGTGCCATGGGTGGCACCACTGAAGCCACCAGAGCCATGGGAGGCACCACCGAAGCCACCAGAGCCATGGGAGGCACCACCGAAGCCACCAGATCCATGGGAGGCACCACCGAAGCCACCAGAGCCATGGGAGGCACCACCGATGCCAGCAGAGCCATGAGAGGCACCACCGAAGGCACCAGTGCCATGGGTAGCACCACCGAAGCCACCAGAGCCATGAGTGGCACCACCATGGACAAGAGTGGCCACAGGTCTACGGCCACCATGCAGGCCACTGGTGCCTTGACCATAAGGGCGGCGTCGACCACCGTAGGAGCCATGAGGACTGGCGGCCGCCAGGGAACTCAGCACCACCAGGAGCAACACCACACTGCCCTTCATCATCATGCTGTAAAAAAATACCTCTTTTACACTTACATCCCATCAATAATGTTATATAATAAAGGTGACAATAATTAGGTGATGAGCGGCGTCAGTTTGGTCTGGTCGACGCCTTGTGTTCTCAACACTAACCCTCAGTAGTTACTCATTTTGGAGCACAAATTAATACTAAGTGAACATACAAGTATCCAATAATAGGTGACATAAGTCAGGTCGACTACGTTAATCTTCCATCATCAAGATCAAACTCGCTGCTGCTTTACAACAGTTAATAAATATTTGGATTATTTTTACAAGTTGGAGTCATGTAAAATGTTACTATGTGTCTATAGTATCTTACCTTGTTGTGTTGTGAGCTACGACACTTGTGAGGGTGGACGAGGCCAGCCAGCCTTATATACCCGCCTGCTGCTGCTGCTGCTTTCACCCAACAACACCGGCAACTTTCCGGGATCCATCACAGTTGCCACTATCCCGCGATATTTATATTAAACTCTGATGCTTTACCTTAACGTTCACTTTCACTATAAAACTTTACAACAAAATGGGAACAATATCTTGACTCGAGGGAAGAGATACATCAATCTTAGGAAGTTTATTCTTCAGTATTAAGCTCATAGAAGATTCGTCGGGGATAACAGGAATAGAGGTTCACAAGTCCGCTGTCCAGGTGTGTCGTCTTCATAGTTTTCCCGGTGAAGAAACTGAAATTCCCGGCCGGTTTGACGCTCCTGAGGCTATTTCTGCTATTACTGTGTGGCAAAGAATAACTATTTAGTTGTCTGGTGGCTATTATTATTATTATTATAATTATTATTATTATTATTATTATTATTATAATTATTATTATTATTATTATTATTATTATTGTAAACCCCAACACACCTTAAAACTACCACATGTAAACCTCAACACACTCTTAAACTACTATATGTAAACCAACACACCTCTAAAACTACCATATGTAAACCTCAACACACTATTAAAAACTACCACACGTAAACCTCAACACACTCTTAAAACTACCACACGTAAACCTCAACACACTCTTAAAACTACCACACGTAAAACCTCAACACACTATTAAAACTTACCACACGTAAACCTCAACACACTCTTAAAACTACTATATGTAAAACCTCAACACACTCCTAAACTACCGTATGCAAAACCTCAACACACTCTTTAAACTACCACACGTAAACCCTCAACATACTCTTAAACTACCACACGTAAACCCCAACACACTCTTAAAACTACCACACGTAAACCTCAACACACACTCTTAAAACTACCATATGTAAACCTCAACACACCTTAAAACTACCATATGTAAACGTCAACACACTTTAAAACTACCACACGTAAACCCTAACACACTCTTTAAAACTACTCATATGTAAAACTTCAACACACTCTTTAAACTACCATATGTAAACCTCAACACACTCTTAAAACTACGACACGTAAACTTAACACACTCTTAAAACTACCATATGTAAACCTCTAACACACTCTTAAAACTACCATATGTAAACCCCAACACACCTTTTTAAAACTACCATATGTAAAACCTCAACACACTCTTAAAACTACCACACGTAAAACCTCAACATACCTTAAACTATATGTAAACCCCAACACACTCTTAAAACTACCATATGTAAACCCCTAACACACTTAAACTACCACACGTAAACCCCAACACACTCTTAAAACTACCACACGTAAAACCTCAACACACTCTTAAACTACCATATGTAAACCTCAACGCACTCTAAACTACCATATGTAAACCCTTTCAACACACTCTTAAAACTACCATGTAAACTCAACACACTCTTTAAAACTACCATATGTAAACCTCAACACACTCTTAAAACTACCACACGTAAACCTCAACACACTCTTAAAACTACCATATGTAAACCCCTCAACACACTCTAAACTACCATATGTAAACGTCAACACACTCTTAAAACTACCATATGTAAACTGCAACACACTCTTAAACTACCATATGTAAACGCAAACCTCAACACACTCTTAAAACTACCATATGTAAAACCTCAAACACACCTTAAAACTACCACACGTAAACTCAACACACCATTAAAAACTACCACACGAACCTCAACACACTCTTAAACTACCATATGTAAACCTCAACACACTCTTAAAACTACCATATGTAAACCTCAACACACTATTAAACCACCATATGTAAACCTCAACACACCTTAAAACTACCATATGTAAACTGCAACACACTCTTAAAACTACCATATGTAAACCTCAACACACTCTAAAACTACCATATGTAAACCCTAACACACTATTAAAACTACCACACGTAAACCTCAACACACTATTAAACTACCACACGTAAACCTCAACACACTCTTAAACTACCATATGTAAACCCTAACACACTCTTAAAACTACTCACACGTAAACCTCAACACACCTTAAAACTACCATATGTAAACCTCAACACACTCTTTAAAACTACCATATGTAAACGTCAACACACTCTTAAAACTACCATATGTAAACTGCAACACACTCTTAAAACTACCATATGTAAACCTCAACACACTCTTAAAACTAACATGTAAACCTCAACATACTCTTAAAACTACTCATATGTAAACTGCAACACACTCTTAAAACTACCATATGTAAACCTCTAACACACTCTAAAACTACCATATGTAAACCTCAACACACTCTTTTTTTAAACTACCACACGTAAAACCCCAACACACTCTTAAAACTACCATATAAACCTCAACACACTCTTAAACTACCATATGTAAACGTCAACACACCTAAAACTACCATGTAAACTGCAACACACTCTTAAAACTACCATATGTAAACCTCAACACACTCTTAAAACTACTATATGTAAAACCTCAACACACTATTAAAACTACCACACGTAAACCTCAACACACCATTAAAACTACCACACGTAAACCCTCAACACCACCTCTTAAAACTACCATATGTAAAACCTCAACACACTCTTAAAACTACCACACGTAAACCTCAACACACTCTTAAAACTACCATATGTAAACTCCCAACACTCTTAAAACTACCATATGTAAACGTCAACACACTCTTAAAACTACCATATGTAAACTGCAACACACCTCTTTAAAACTACCATATGTAAACCTCAACATACCTTTTTTTAAAACTACCATGTAAACCTCAACATACTCTTTAAAACTACCATATGTAAACCTCAACACACTCTTAAAACTACTCATATGTAAACCTCAACACACCTTTAAAACTACCATATGTAAACCCCAACGCACTCTTAAAACCACCATATGTAAAACCCCCAACACACTCTTAAACTACTATATGTAAACCCTTCAACACACTCTAAAACTACCATATGTAAACCTCTGAACACACTCTTAAACTACCATGTAAACCTCAACACACTCTTTAAACTACCATATGTAAACTTCAACGCACTCTTAAAACTAATATATGTAAAACTTCAACACACTCTTAAACTACTATATGTAAACCTCAACACTCTTAAAACTACCATATGTAAACCTCAACACACTCTTAAAACTACCACACTTGTCACTATACTTGTCACTGGTACCTGGTGACTGTTTATACTTGTCACTGGTACCTGGTAACTGTCTATACTTGTCACTGGTACCTGGTGACTGTCTATACTTGTCACTGGTACCTGGTGACTGTTTATACTTGTCACTGGTACCTGGTGACTGTTTATACTTGTCACTGGTACCTGGTAACTGTCTATACTTGTCACTGGTACCTGGTAACTGTCTATACTTGTCACTGGTACCTGGTGACTGTCTATACTTGTCACTGGTACCTGGTGACTGTTTATACTTGTCACTGGTACCTGGTAACTGTCTATACTTGTCACTGGTACCTGGTAACTGTCTATACTTGTCACTGGTACCTGGTGACTGTTTATACTTGTCACTGGTACCTGGTAACTGTTTATACTTGTCACTGGTACCTGGTAACTGTTTATACTTGTCACTGGTACCTGGTAACTGTTTATACTTGTCACTGGTACCTGGTGACTGTCTATACTGTGTCACTGGTACCTGGTAACTGTTTATACTTGTCACTGGTACCTGGTAACTGTTTATACTTGTCACTGGTACCTGGTAATGTTTATACTTGTCACTGGTACCTGGTAACTGTTTATACTTGTCACCTGGTTACTTGTCACTGGTACCTGTGACTGTTTATACTTGTCACTGGTACCTGGTGACTGTCTGTGTCTGGTACCTGGTGACTGTCTATACTGTCACTGGTACCTGGTGACTGTTTATACTTGTCACTGGTACCTGGTGACTGTCTATACTCACTGGTACCTGGTGACTGTTTATACTGTCACTGGTACCTGGTGACTGTTTATACTTGTCACTGGTACCTGGTAACTGTTTATACTTGTCACTGGTACCTGGTAACTGTTTATACTTGTCACTGGTACCTGGTGACTGTTTATACTTGTCACTGGTACCTGGTAACTGTTTATACTTGACACTGGTACCTGGTGACTGTTTATACTTGTCACTGGTACCTGGTAACTGTTTATACTTGTCACTGGTACCTGGTGACTGTCTATACTGTGTCACTGGTACCTGGTGACTGTCTATACTGTGTCACTGGTACCTGGTGATTGTTTATACTTCTCACTGGTATATGACATTAATCTACCTAAATAATTACTTTCAATTAGATGTATTTCAGCTGACATAATTGGGGATATAGGAAATTAGTTAGGATTATATATACTGTACTTTATTTTAAATAAAAAAAATTATAATTAATCATTACAGAGAACAATTGATGTTAATGAGAGTTTTGAGTTATAAATATTAATGGTAGGTTATGAAGACAGTTTATGACTACAGAAAAGATTTGTTGATTGTAGTTGTTGTTGTTGTTGTTGTTGTTGTTTTAGTTGTTGTTGTTGTTGTTGTTGTTGTTTTGGTTGTTGTTGTTGTTGTTGTTGTTGTTGTTGTTGTTGTTGTTGTTTTGGTTGTTGTTGTTGTTGTTGTTGTTGTTGTTGTTGTAGTTATTGTTGTAGGCTACTGTTGATCCTTGTTTGTTGATTGTTATTTGATCAGTTGATTACGAGGCTTGTTATTTGAGCTACTGATTCATACAGCTTGTTTTTCACTGAGCCAATCTCTTTGAAGGCTTGATCCACTGTTGCCTGATCCATACTTTTTACTGAACCAAACTTATACTGCTTGACTTAAACTGATCCAAACTTACCACTGATCCACACTAACTGATCCAAAACACTCTTATTGCTTGATCCCTTATAAATGATCCGTGAGATTGTGTACATTTAGCCATGATAGCCCGACTGTTGAGGAGTAGTGCAGCAATAGTACACATTTTGATAGGTACTCCGACAATAATATCTACAGTTGTTGTAACCAGCGCCGGGGTGACTGTGATAGGCGTAGTTGTGCCCCTGCGCGTAGTTGGGGAAGTTCTGGGTGTTGAAATATCCTTGGCCGTAGTTAAGTCCTGCTAGATTGATTCCAGATCCTATTCCAGATCCTATTCCAGATCCTATTCCCGATCCTATGTGACCTGGGAAATGGCTCCCTACAAAGCCACTTCCTCCTCCAAAACCTAAGCCTCCTTGGCCTCCATACGTCCTGTGGGAGTGTATAGGTACTAGCATACCCACGGCCAGCAGTAGAGTGAGGGAGACGGCCTTACCTCGCATTCTGTAACGTAAAGAAGAATTTGTTACTTAAAAGAGAAACGTGTTACTTAATGAGAAATTTGTCATTTAAAGGGGGATCTCTTTACTCCACACCTGCCTTAATTAATCATATAATTCACCTTAGCCAACATTAACCTAACCTAACCTTAATTTCCCTATAATTACTGAGCACTGCACGTGACCAGATAATGAAAAATATTAATATGATAAAAAATATAAATACGAATTAATTATCAATATACCAATTAAAATTAATCACTGTACCTGGGAGAAACATTTAATTAGTTGAAGTTAAATATTTAGTTATTTTTGTAGTTTTTAATGTTATTCTGTAGTTTTTTATGGTGCAAAGATGTTATTTAGTCAATGTTATGTCGGAGTTTGATGCTCGGGACGTTGTGTAGAATAATTCATTAAAGATATGTAGAATTCTAATAGGTATTCCATCAGGAAGTGAGAGTAATGATGGCTTGTATCATACCTGGAGTAGTAACGGGAAGATGTTGACGTGTGAAGACAAAGGTTGTATCTGAGACGGTCGTGACTGACTGACTGATGTTGGGGATTACTGGCCTCTTCGCCATTAGGCTATTTCGGCCGAAGCTGATGTCTTCTTTCTTCTTCTAATCTTGGTCTTCTTTCTTGCTACAACTAATCTGATGTTCTTGTTTCTTCTTTTCTTGTTATTCTTGTGTTCTTCTTGTTCTTGGTATTTTGGTTACTTCTTTCTTCTTGTTGTTTTATTTGGGATGAATTATGGTATGCATGAGTGATATGATGGTGAGTTAGTGACAGACCAGATGAAATGGCTTGTCAGGTGACTAGTTTCTCTGTGATTTTTTTTTTTTTATTATTTTTATTTTGTCTTTTGTAGCCCGTGTCTTTTTGTTTGAATATATGTTGGTGGGTGTCAGTTTAGCTTGATAAATGTGAGTGTTGTATGTAATGATAAGGTTTGTGATGTGTTTCTCATGTTGTATGTTTTAATTTTTGTTTTATTCATTTTTATTTTTTTTTTTATTTTTTTATTTTTTAAGGCATGGTTACATACATATAATAGATATAAAAAGAGTTCATGCGTGTGTCAATCATAACATGCCGATAAGATGGGTCTCCTTGAGGAAGGTTATTACTGCGTCACTTATGGTGACATTATCTTGCAATAGGTTGGGTACAGTCAGCACGAAGCCTTGCTCGGCAGCTAGGATCACCAGCTGCCGGCGCTCTGGTTCGTACTGGCTGCACTCAGTCAGAATATGTCTGATGGAGAGAATTAGGTTACAAGTGGCACAGATAGGTGGGAAGGAATTGTCAAGATAGGCCCCTAGGTGGGTCAGATAGGTACAGTTCAGCCTTAATCTGGCGAGAACGACCTCTTCCCTCCTATTCTTTCTATATGCTGAGGGCCAGTTTCCTATATTAGTCTTCCAGGTGTTGTGGAGATCCAACCTAGTCCATTCAAGTTGCCACTTTCCAAATGTATATGTCTTCCCCAAGGAGAGACACGACTGAGTCTCCCAGGGTACATTGGTTGTCTCCCCGAGACCCACAGTCGCTCTTGCTAATCTGTCTGCCTGTTCATTGCCCCAAATGTTACAATGCCCAGGCACCCACACCAGCACAATATTCTTGGCACACTCATGTAATTTATTAATAATGTTGCCCTGTATCTCATTGCTGGTAGTATTACCACCTTGAATTGCTTTAAGAGCTGACATGGAATCTGAAATTACAGCGACATCATTGACATTGCTTGTTATTGCAATGTCAATGGCTTTACTTATTGCGAACATTTCTGCAGAGAATATGGTTGTATGCCGCGGCAGGCGGGAGCTCCACTCCCCGTCTCTGCTCCAGATACCGGCTCCGACGTTGTCTTCAGTCTTGGACCCGTCGGTGTACACGTGAGTATAGGCGCTGAATCCTTCAAGAAATTGATAGAAAAGTTGCCTCAGGAGCTCAGGATGAAAGTCATTCTTCGCTCCCGGAAGCCACGAGACGGTCGTGTGTGCCGTC